GGGTGCCAGGAATGGGAGCTGGCTCGGTAGGTGACAGACTAAAAAGAGTCACACTATGGGAGGCTGGCTACATGTGGGGTCTACTGCAGAAGCTCGACTTCACAACAGAATGCAAAGGAATGAGACCTTCCGAGGCAGACGGGGGTGTTCGTTAGGTGAAAGCCCGCAGAGATGACATGACCATGCCTACTTCTCCCCAGCATTCACCGCCAATGCCCCGGGTGCTGAGCATGGGCTCCCTCGGGCGCCTGGCAGGAGCGTGCACAGCAGCCCTGTGCGGTCGCACGGAGGGGTGGGGACAGCACCGGCGCGCTGCAGCTCCAACCACAGCCAAGTCCTTGAGGTTACTGTGGATTTCCTGAATCCTTGCTCATGGCCCCCTGAGGACCAATGAAACAGCCATCTCGAAGCCAGCCAAGTCTGTCCCTACTCAGCACACATCGTCCTCTGTTTCCAGTACGTGAGGCTAGGCAGTCATGGATACAAGGCCCGGAAAGACCCACCGGCAACCCCGGGGAGGTGTGAACGGGGAACAGCTCCACTGTTCACCCCAAGGTTGGCTGTGTGAGTCCATCCAGGGGCCCCTTGGAAGATAGGCCTGGCTATCTATGCCCTGCCACAACCCCGCCCCCCCTTCCCCGAAAACACCCCACTAGCTGTTGAAAACCTCACGCAGGTGAGTTTATATTAATGGAGGAGGACCAGCCCAGGCAAGGAGGGTGAGAATTAATATCACTGAGGTGCAAATGTACAAACGGTTGAATTGGCCAACCACAACGACTAAAGAAAGAAACAGAGGAAAAGAAAACCTTTATGTAACTGTTAGAATGGGAGTAAAAGGAAAGTGGGCCCAGAACATGGGTTTAATTTTATTAGCATTAAGACCTGCCCGGGTGTTTAGAACAGAATGAGGGTAAAGGGGGCAGGTGAGGGGAGACTGGAAGACACAGTGAGGTGAGAATAGCCGAAAGTAAGAAAGGGAGAGCTAGCGACAGGAAGAGACAGAGAGCGAGCGAGCAAAGGGATCGAGCGTTCATAAGCTTTGGGGACAGAAACACATTATTATGTCTAAAAGGAGCCCCACCTCCCCCATATTGGCTGGCTGTGGCACCAGCAAACCAGTGAAGAGAGTGGGGAAGGTTTCTGTGACAAGTCTTGAGAAGGCGAGGTGTCACGTTGTGCTAGGTGTGGATGGAGACGGGGTCAGAGATGCTGGTATTACTGCTGGACCCTTTAGTAACCAAGTTCTAGCTGCATGCAAAAGGTTGCTGTAGATTGCTGTGTTAGTCCAGGTACACTAGAGAAACAAATCCATGGAGACTCACATGTATAGGAAAGAGCTTTATATTAAAGAGTAATTGTATATTGAGAAAACATCCCAGCTTAATCTAGATCAAGTCCATAAATCTGATATTAGCCCATATGTCCGATACCAGTCTGCAAATTCCTCTTCAGACTCATGCAAAAACATGCAATGATGCTGAATGCAGGAAGATCACAGGCCAGTGGGCGGAAAGGCTCATGGATGCAGTGGTAGTGGAAGCATCTTAGCACTGGCATGGGTCTCTAGGTGGCTCCTCCAGCTCCAAGGCTCTGGCTGCCATCAGCATAGCTCCATGTGGCTTGTCAACAGGAATGCCTAGAAAGGACAGGAGTGTGTGTGTCTGGCCTCCTGTGAGTTATTTATCTCTACGCCTCCAAATGAGGTCATCAAGCTGCTACCTGATTGACAGGCTAAACTACATCCCTTCACTCTTAATAGTATCAAGTTCACACCAAATTATGTAACTACCAAAATCTCAATTGATTCAAAGGTGACTAACTGGAGGGACAGTGACTTTAGAAATGAACTCCACTCCTTGTTACTGGAGAAATCCTCCAAGTTCGTGCCCAGCTGGTAACAGTTCAGCGAGCCACGATGGCCTCTGGCACTTCCAGATGTGCTGGCAGCGTGCCTGCGTGTCCGTGCGCATGTGCACGTTCGCATTATGCTCGTCCATGGTCTTTCATACTCACAGTTGCGCACCTTCCAGGAAGAGTTCCTGCCACCTTGGCTCTGTCTCACGGTGGTCCCCAGGCCTTTTCTTGCTTTGCTGACAGAGTTGGCCATTCCGCTCTTCTTCCTGCTGCCACAATACCGGCAGTCTTCCCGTGGGAAGCAGAGGTGAGCTGCAGGGCGCCCTGACACAGAGGTTGAACGGAAGTGAGACTTCTGCAAGGGCCTGATAGTCCAAACCGCGGGCATCACCTGCAAATGTGCCAAAGCAGACGCTGAGAGTGCACTCTGACTCACAGTGCCCCCATGCACGTCAGTGTGGAACTGTGCCCCACAGCACTGCCACGGCCGGTTTTTCTGTAGCAGAATGCCAGGCCTTTCTTCCAATGTGCCTGTTGGAGGGCTTGACCCTCCACCCTCTCAGTTAGCAGCTGAGATCTCCTTAGCTGTTTGTGCCACCCAGGGACCCCTCGTTTTCTACTTTTGTCTTGTAAAGCACAGTACTTCCATGGCACTCAGGAGCGAACTGTGCTTATGGGACTAAGAGACAGCAACTTTCAAGGATCACAAGTAGTTATCAGGTCTCTGGTTGCCAAGGGGTCCATAGACAGAGACAGACCTTTCTGTTTTCTATCGTCAATCACACTAAAGAGCTCTTCTCCTCACCATCAAGTCCATGCCCACTCATAGCGACCCTAGAGGACAGGGTAGACCTGCCCTTGGGAGTTTCTGAGTCTCTAACTCAGTACGGGAGTAGAAAGCACTGCCTTTCTCTGTGGGATGGCTGGTCGTTTTGAACTGCTGACCTTGCAGTTAGCAGCTGTATGTATGCACAGCCACCCACAGGTAAAGGCTGCACATCACCTCCGCCTTCCTTGGGGGTCCCCACAGGAAGCCCAGCCTTGTGACCCCAGAGCAAGGGTCTCAGCCGCACTGGTACTTGACCTGACTTAAAATTGCAAAAGAACTGCTGGACGGGCGGCTGGCATGGGAGTGTGAATGAGTGTTTGCGTTTGCTTGGTTGGTGGGAAAAGAGCCAGTGGCGTCACAGTAAAGCTTCATGTTGCTGGAGAGGGAAAACAGGGCTGGGCGTGGGGAGAGGGGTCAGCTATGTGGCTCAACTAATGCCAGCTTGGCAGTGCATCACCAGAGGGTGCCTAGAAGAAGGCCAGGGGTTCTACTGCCCAGGCCCAGCTTTGGAAACCCCATGGAGCACAGCTCTACGTGGACACTTGTGGGGCCCCAGGAGGGGACTTGCCCCGCCCCACCGCAGCGAACAACAGTGTCATTGAGCTTGAGGATGCTGGCGGGACTGCTTGCCACCTCCCTTTTAAAATACAAACTGGCTTATGAAAGACACGATCTAAATGGGGCTTCTCAGTCAACGTCGAAAAACTCTCTTTTTTCCTTTTAACTTCACACAGTATGTCCATTGTTACCATTACGACTGAATAATTTAAAAATGTCTTTTCTGTGCTTGGTTAACTTGAGCAAGACCTTCAATGTACAAGAAAATAGACAGGAAACAGTTAAAAGTGTTAAGAAATATTTGAAGAAACTTGAACAGCTTTTTGTTCCTGACCAGAGTCACTCTCCAAAGCTAATTTAACATTTCAAAAAATGTAACCCTCTGTCGTTGCACCAGAGAGCCCTGGTGGGTTAGCGGGCTATGAATTAGGCTGCTCACAAGGTCAGCAGTTCAAAACCACCAGCCCCTCTATAGAGGAAAGATGAGGTTTTCTACTCCCGTAAAGAGTAATCGTTTCGGAAACCCACAGGGGCTCTTGTACTCTATCTTATAGGGCCGTTCACTGTCATGGAATTGATGCTAGCTCAAAACAACCCTATAGGACATGGCAGAACCCGCTGCTGTGAGTTTCCAAGACTCTAACTCTTTATGGGAACAGAAAGGCCCACCTGTCTCCCCATAGAGGGCCTGGTGGTTTCAATCTGCTGACTTTTTGGATTGCAGCCTAAGGAGTAACCACTCTGCCACAGGGTCCTGGCAGTCCTCCCACAGGGTCGCTGGCAGTCCTCACAGACTCTCCGCCAGAGTTGGGTTGCGTTGATGACGTTGAACCTCAGTGCAAATGAAACAGAAGGCAACGTGTGTGTGCACATGTGTATGTGCATGTATGTGTGTATCTGCGTGTGTGCACATATGGGTATGTCTGTGTGTGTGCATATGTATGTATGTGTGTAGGGGGCTTTCTACATGACTCCCCATTTCCTGAGACTCGAATGGCTCATTCATTCATTTCGAAGGAAAATCCTGTTGTGTTCTCTGGTCTAGTGGGCTTGATTTACAGCCCCTGCCAGGTCCTGCCCGCCCCCAGGATCCCAAGCAGATCCGGCCATTGTGACCCACAGGGTTTCGTCCCATCACAAGGCCACTGTTCCCATGGGAGAGGGAACATTACAAAGACAACGTCGTAACAAGGAGCCTGGCTGCAGTCAAGCCTTTGCTGCTGAAGGGGAGCTGGGGCTTTGAACCCACCCCACCCCAGCAGCTGGGCAGGAGAAAGGCCTGGTCGACTAGTCTGGCCCCTGCAGGCATGGGGCACCATCCCGAAGACCCCATGCTGCTGTTCTTCCAGAAGCTGAGGCCAGTCGGGGCCAGCAAGCCTTTCCCAACAGCCAGCTGCACAAGACAGACCCAGTTTATGAAGGGATTGAATTAGGGGCTCCCAAACAGGAATGGTCTGCAGGGAGCCCACATCTTCAGGAATAAAACCCCAAGTCTGGAAAGCTGCCCACCCCCACCCCTATTCTCCCAATCAGCCCCTACCTTTGCCTGCCCCAGGATGAAACAGCATTCCTGCTCTGGCCCAGGCGCCCTCTCCGCCACTGCGGGATGAGGGGCGGGCGGAGAGGCCCAGGGGGCCTCACAGCTCCAGTCAGCAGCACATGATGCCTGCCTTGCCGGCCAGCACATGACCCTGCAGAGCCGCGAGGTCCCAGCAGACAACTCACACTCGCCGTGGTGTAGTGTCTCCAGCCGCCCATGGCTTCCCCGCGTCTGGCCACTTTCTGCTGCCCCACGCGGGACGCGGCCACGCAGCTGCTGCTGAGCTTCCAGCCGAGGGCCGTCCATGCACTTTGCCTGGGCAGCGGTGCCCTCCGCCTGGTGCTTGGCCTCCTGCAGCTGCGGGCCCTGCGTCGGCCCACGCGCCCGGCGGCCTCCGTGCCCGGCTCCGCCTCGGGCCCGCCGGCCTCTGCTCCAATCCTGCGCGCTGCCATCGCCTGCGACCTGCTCGGCTGCCTGGGTAAGGGTGCGGTACAGGGGGTGAGACCCCCAACCAGGGTGCCCGAGTTAGGGCGCTAGGCTCTCAGAGTGGAACTCACTGGGCACCTGGAGAAGGGCCTGCGGCCCACAGGTTGCGACTGGCTTAGGCATGGGGCTGGGCCCCGCCGAGTGTCTGGTAAAAGCGCCAAGGTGCCTGGCTAAGGACCCATGGCCCACGAGTTGTAAAACAAAGAAACAGTTAATAGGCAAGCTTGCCTATTCCCGGGCGTCCCGCCTGCAGACGGTGACGTGCTTCCAGCGGTGAGCCACTAGTTTGCCTATTGGGAGCCAGCCCAGGTGCCTTGGAAGAGAGGCTTGGTGACCTGCCTCTGAAAGGTCACAGCCCAGGGCCTAAGCCCTCTGCGAAGAGGTCCCTGTGCGCCCACAAGGGATCACTGGCTAGGAACGGTGGGGAGGCAGCCCTCACACAAGAACCACCACCTACCTACCTCGCAGGCATCCACAGAGCCCAAGCAGACTGTGCTGGGAAATATAACTCTGCCTGGGGGGCTGGGGGTGTGGTGTGGTGCTGACTCAGAACTCAATCAGGCAACAGGCCACCCAGCACCTAACCGCTGTGCCACCAGGCACCCCTGGGTGGCCTCATCTCAGAAGCCCAGTTTCCTCACAGGTGAGGAGCTGGAGCTAGAAGTCTGAAATCAGGGGCTGGGGTAGGGGGGCAATGAGGGTGGGTAGAGGGCAGGGCAGGGGAGGGTCCCCACCGCCCACCGCTTCTCTTCACCAGGTGTCTTCTTGTGCTGCGGTGCAACCCCACCCCGACCCGCTGCCCTGCCTGCTTGCCTGGTTTCATGCCCACTCTGCTCCCCACTATCTCAGACAAGCTTGATTTAAGACATTTTAGACATGTCCTGTGTTGTATGATGGCTCTATGCCAAGACGGGTCGTCACCTCCAGTATCAGCGCTAGCGGTCACAGGCCCTGCTTTGGGGGGTCTCAGGGCTAAAAGTCACAGGCACTGTCCAGGAGGGAGTCAGAGGCACTCGTCTGGGGGTGGAGTCCGGGGAAAGGAGTCATGGTGGGTGTGGGGGGCTGCTCTAGGGACTAGGAGTCACAGGCCTTGTTTGGGGTGGGGGGGACGGGGACTAGGCCATGCACAGCCGTACTCTCTCCTCTCCCGCAGGCCTTGTGCTGCGCTCTGGGGTGTGGCTGACCTTCCCTGGTTTCGTGGCCCACATCTCAGCAGGGAACGGCACAGAAGTTTGGCCTGCAGCTTTCTGTGTGGGGACTGCAGTAAGTGCCTGCCCCCTCCCCCTCCCTTCCTAGGCTCCTATCCTGCCCATGTCCTGGGGGTGGGTCCCCAGCAGCTGCACAGGATGGCAGCACCAGCCTCCCCTGGGATCCTGTTGACACCCCTCCCCCCAATAAAAAGCTCCCAAACCAGACCCCTTTGTTGATTCCCACTCAGGATGATCCTATGGGGCCCAGTAGAACTGCTCCACAGGGTTTCTGAGGCTATGTCAGCTGGACATGAGCAGACAGCCTTGTCTTCCTCCTGAGGAGCAGCTAGTGGGCTTGAAACCCCACCCCAACCCTATGCTCTTCCCCCTGTGCCACCAGGGCACCTCGTCAGAGATGCTAGTTCCCAGGCCCCACTGCAGATCTCCTAGGCAGAAGTGTGTACCACCTGTGTTTTAACCAGCCTGCCCGAGGCTAAGTGTTCTAAGAAAGTCATGCCACTCAAGTCTGCCAGCAACTTCACTGCAGACAGACAGACGGGACAGGCTGCTCTGCACAGATTAAGCCCACTGCGTGGACTCAATTCCAACTCTGAGCCACTCATGGGGAGACAGATGGCCCCACCGGGTGTCCAGGGCTGCAGGACTTTGTGGAAGCAGGCTGAATGCACGCCTTCCTTCCTGGGACAGCCGGTGGCTCCCAAAGGTCAGCCTTTCTACTAAGTGCCTGGTCAACCAGGGTCCTACATGAAGATCACACCCCAGGGGGCAGTTTCCTCCTCTCCGGCAGGGCATCCGGGAGTTGAATCTGACTCCAAAGCCTTGGGGCTTAAGTCCTGTGTTGGAGACTCTGGGTGG